GAATCCTACTTCGTGGAATTTCATTTATCACGGTAGGGTCTAGAACCGATTAACCGCGATAAACGAGGGTTCACTGTATATATACCTTTGCATCCATCACTGCTGACATCGGACATTAGGGTGCAAAACCAGTTAGATGATAGAGAAAGATGGGGCTTTTTGCTCAGAAACCCAATCCTACCCGTCCTATTGGGTCGCTATTGGACCTTATTGGAATAGAATCTGTGGCAGTGAGTGGTCTATTTTAGTATTGCCGTAAATGGGCAGCATTAGATAATAAGACAGCCAACACATGAGGAGCAGGTGTACAGATTACCTACATTAGGAGGGTAAACATACTGTCAGATTCCTAGCTTAGGTCTCTTTAGCAGAGTTGACAAACTAGGGCTAAAGCAGTAACAAAAGTAGCAAAATAAAAAACCCCCAAGCCGATGAAACTGGTTGTGATGAAGTTTCAATCACATGCCCCACATATCCACCGATACATTCCTACGATACAGAGCATTTTCTCTTTCTCTCCACACGTAGCAAAACTGTAATGCATTTATATTACACATACGCTTTGGGAATCTGGTAGCTTCAAGAGAAAACACACCCATTTCTAGTCCTAGACACCAAGCTGGGATCTCACGTCATATTTCACAAAGTATAAAAAGTTCATTTATTGCATATTTGTATTCTCCATTTTTGTTTATCACAAGGTCTTTTTAATCTCTACACATTTTTAGTACTGTATATACTCAAGTATAAGCCGACCCGAATATCAGCCAAGGCACCTAATTTTACAAAATCTGCATTAAAAATATGTGCTGAAAAACTCGGCTTATACACGCGTTTGTATGGTACTTACATAACTATATTCTGGTTTTTCAACTTCTTATGGTCTCCAAATACCACTGACGAGAAAAAAAGTATCTGGCTTCTTTACAGAATTTTTCTTTAGATTTACAAAAACGCTTGAAATTTTAGCCTGAGTAATGAGACTCTTCTTTCAATGCACCCCAATTGTAACTAACACTTGTACCAGAGAATGAATGTTTACTTACTATTGGTTGCTTGCACATTTTCTTCTAGTTTACAGAGCAATCTTAATTCAGATACCAGCCATGCACAGAGTTTGGTAAATTCCGGGGAACTAGCTCCACCAGAGACTGCTTGAGACAGTGCACCATCTTCTAACAGAGGACCCTTGTAACTGGTGAGAAAGAAATCACACTTTAGTCAAAAATAAAACCACAACTTATTACACATAAAATGTATCTATGGATTATCAGTATAATTAAACACTAATTTAACCAGGCTTTATTATGACCATTTTCTAGACTTGCAACTATGACTAAAATTTAAAATTATACTAAACCGTTAGAAAAATAAGCTAAGGGGAGGAAGGGGAACCGATTTCAATGATTGACGCAGAATCCCCCCCCAGGGGGATGAACAACAGAAATGTGGGTGAGGGAAGACAGCAGTTGGTGTAAGATAAGAAAACACGTGGGGAGCAAATGTTTTGAGAGTGATGAGGGTAACGTAACGAATGCACAAATGTGCTTTGTACAATTGATGTATGTATGCATTGTGATAAGAGTTGTATGAGCCCCCAATAAAATGATTTAAAAAAAAATAGTTCCTTGGAGGCATGGCAAGGAAGGTTGGGGGGAAATGAGGAGCTAATAATGATGACTACAAGAA